TACTTTTTCTTCGGTTTTTACTAATGAAGATTTAAGCAGTATTCCACATCTTGATCAGTTGATAAATGGAAACGAGATGAAACATGATGACTGCATTAATTCTGAGCTGGTTAAGAAAAAACTGAGAAGTTTAAAAAATGATAAGGCTCCTGGGTCAGATAATATTTCCACAGGGGTTTTGAAGAAGGTTAAAGATTGGATATGTGAGTCACTTATTACTATTTTTTGTCAGTCCTTGAATAGTGGGCAAGTACCAGAGGATTGGAAGTTAGCTAATGCAACTCCTCTTTTCAAGGGAGGTGATAAAAATTGTCCCAGTAATTATAGACCCATTAGTCTTACATCAGTTGTGGGAAACATTTTGAAAAATATATTAAAAGATGCTTTGCAAAGTCATTTAACAAAGTTTATAATTTTATTGGATAGTCAATATGATTTCACTAAGGGAAAATCTTGCCTTACAAATATTTTAACATTCTTTAAAATGGTTATTGCTTATGTAGATGAGGGTAAGTGTGTAGATTTGGTGTATCTAGATTTTCAGAAAGCATTTGACAAGGTGCCACTTTAAATGCTTGTAAAAAAAATTAGCTCTATAGGTGTGGGGGATAAGTTAGCAAATTGAATAGAAGAGTGGCTAGATAGAAGAAAGCAAGAGGGTTGTTACAAATGGAGTTCAATCAAACTGGATTAAAGTCACAAATGGGGTACCTCAGAGCTCATTCCTAGAACCTTTGCTCTTTTTTGATTTACATCAATGACATAGATGAAGATAGTCAATAAATTACTTAAATTTGCAGATTATATTAAGGTCTTGGGTATTGTTAGCTGTAAAGAGGATGCTGCTGATTTACAAAATGATTTAGATCATTTAGTGAGTTGGACAAATAAATGGCAGATAGGTTTTAATTATAATAAATGCAAGATAATGTATGTGGATTATCATAATATGAATTAAAATATAATTTAGATGGGAATAACCTTAATAGTGTTATGAAACAAAGGGATCTTGGTGTAATAGTCGATCAGTTTCTAAAGCCATCCAAGCAGTGTGCTGTTGCTAGTGGTAGGGGAAAATAGGATTTTAGGTTGTATCTATATAAATATTGAATACAAGTCTAAAGATATTATACTTTCATTATACAGGTCACTGTTTATGTCACATTTGGAATATTGTGTTCAGTCTTGGGCTCTTACTTTAGGAAGGACATTGAATTGTTGGAAAGGGTTCAGGGAACGGTTACTAGAATAGTGTCTTAGATGGAGGGGTTGTCATACGATAGGAGACTGAAATCTCTCAAATTGTTTTCCCTTGAAAAAAAGGAAGAGTTAGGTGGGATCTGATTGAGGTGTTTAAGATCGTAAAGAGAATTGATAGTGTTGATGTATCATCCTGTTTTATATTTAACAATGAGAATAGCAGAACTAGGGGATACAAGTACAAATTTTGGCAAGGTAGGAGTCATCTTCAGCTAAGACAGTTTTATTTTTCTAACAGGGTGGTTGGCCTTTGGAATGGGTTGCCTTGAGATGTTGTAGAGGCAGTAAACGTAAGTGAATTTAAGAAAGAGTTTGATAAGTATTTGAATGAAAAGGGCTGGGTTTAAAATTTTTTTAATAATTTAAATTTAGTTTAGAGGATGGAACAGCCGAGATGGCCCAATAGGTCCCATGTTGTCCCAAAATATTGTGTTATGTTATGTTTTATATTTCAATTTCTATAAGATCAGAAGTATTTAAATGATCTACAGATGTGTGTAGACACGTATGTTGTCGTTTATTATATGGAATAAATAGATTTATTTCAGGTTCTAAAAGTATTTTTACTATAGTTTTTCTTTACTACTTGTGAACATCCGATAAAAGAAACTAAAAACCAAGTTTACTTGATAAGAAGTTTTAAATGTTATGTACTCGTTAATCATTAAGGACTGTTTAGGAAAATAATTTGTTCGACAGACAAGTATGTTTGAACACGTGCCAGCTAAGGTAATTTCAAATTAATTTGGATAGCCATCGAAAGAACTTGCAACAAAGTATCTCACATTTGCATAAATCGTTTTCTTTCAATAAATTGTTTCGTGAAACTTAACTTTTTCAGAACATTTACTGAAAGAATAATGATTAGTTTGTTTTATGCACTTTAAAAAAGAATTAAAGTTTAACATGCAAACTCTTTTAGTTTAATATGTCATTCTCTTATCTTCTTCTTTTTGCGTTAAACTTTTACCAGTTAACATGACACTGAAACTTGACTGTTGAATGATATTACTAGTGAGATTGATCCATCCAAAACAAATGAAAATAACCATAGATATGAGCAGCAGTACGATTCAAAGAAGTTAAGGAAAAACAATCGTTGCTTCTCTCTTTAATGGAAAATTCAACTTAACACTTTTTATTATTTAATTAAGGTACTTTTGGTGGAAATAAGTACGATATTATTTCTTTTTTGTAAATAGACGTAGGCCTAACGGTAATATGAGACGGTTCTTTGACTTTTAATTTTCGATAAATTATTTGCCCGAAGAGGGCGTTCAGATCGTTACATGTAGGAGACTTTTGTGTGTGAATGAAGCAGAGTGTGTTGTTCTCATTACTTCGATCCACCAGATACCAGGGCAAGGCCGGGAGGATGTTAGCTTCCCTACGCAACTAGTGTGACATAACCAGAAGCAAGCATCACACTTTATGAGACAAGACTTCTAAGACACGAACGGACGTCAGCTCTTAGATAGCGGGTTCCAAAGAAACAAGTTAGGCAAACTCTTCACGTTCAAAGCTCTATTCTAATGACGTGTTCCCTTGAGATGATGCAGTCTAAAACCAGGGAGTATTGAAACCCAGTAAGTTCTTGTTTTCTTAATCTTGTGCACAGCGACTGTCAGTCTCAAAACGAAATGAACTTAAATTATAACAGTAAGAAACGTGTGATTAGGAATGAACCAAAAAAGCTATTGGTTGATTGTTATAGGACCCCCTCATGTAAGCAACAAGTTACAAGCTTATCAACTTTTGTTTGGTAGGCACTGGGAAGAAGCGTTCCGTTACCAGAATGATTGTGTTTGTTGTTAATAAAGTTAAACCCAGTACGGTAAAAACCCTTACCACGATAGATAACCAATACATTTTAAGAACTAAAACCTTCTTTACCGTTAAAACTTGTGTACTTGAGAATGATCGCATCAGTCATCGAAACGTCGTACCTGTTCTATAAAGTAATCTAACTTACTGTAAAAGCTGTAACTTGTAATAAAATTTTAAAAGTGTATTGACTACAATTAAAGACGAAAAAAAAAAAAGGCTAGACCATTTCAAAAACTTTTTAAGCTAACAATATCCTAGTTTCCAGCTAGTTTATCAAGTTTTTCCTTAGTTTATTTTCGAGCAAAACGCACCAACAAGCCTATTCTGAATAATAATGGATATTAAATATTATTTAAGTAATTACCAACATAACACGTGCATAACATGCTATCATACATTTTGATTCTTTAGAAATAATTTTCTGTTGCCTTTCTTGAATAAATCCTTTAATGAAATGAAATATTATTATCCTAATGATGTGTTGAGTTTATTCTAACGTTTTCGTGACAGTTTATTCATTACAAATGCCCAGCATAATAAATGAAATTCAACATCACTATCTCAACAAATTGCTCTTCTCGAATAAATTTAGTATGGAGTCAAATATTCACACATGATTACCTAGACAGTTTGCTCCCCTAGAACGGTGCTATTATGGAAACAAACGTGACTACGTAGACAGTTTGCTCCCCTAGAACGGTGTTATTATGGAACCAAATGTGACTACCAAGACAGTTTGCTCCCCTAGAACGGCGCTATTATGGAAACAAATGTGACTACGTAGACAGTTTGCTCCCCTAGAACGGTGTTATTATGGAACCAAATGTGACTACCTAGATAGTTTGCTCCCCTAGAACGGTGTTATTATGGAACCAAACGTGACTACGTAGACAGTTTGCTCCACTAGAACGGTGTTATTATGGAACCAAACGTGACTACGTAGACAGTTTGTTCATGCTGAATAACGTTTATCTGGAATAAAACCTGACTACGTAGACAATTTTCTCCCTGAGAATAAAGTTAGTACAGAATTAAACATGATTGCCAAGACAGTTTGCTCATGCTGAATAACATTAGTCTGGAATCAGACATGATTACCTAGTCAGTTTGCTGATCGTGGATAATGAAAGCCTGGATTACAAATAACTACTTCGACAATCAGCCCACTCCGAATAACGAATAGACAATTCGCTCCCCAAGAATAGTGTAGTCTGAAATTAAACATTATTGAATGTTAGCCTGTAGTTGGCGGCTTACCCTTACTGGATTGGGAAGAACGATTTGTATAGATAATCATGCTTAATTTCAGATTAATTCCTCCTGCCGAATAACGTTAAACTGGAATTATACATGATTACCTCGACAAGTTGCCTTCCAAGTTAGAGTTGCCTAGGATTAAACATTATTACCACGATCATGTTTCTTTCCAAATGACATAATTCTGTAATCAACATGATTAGCTCAACGAATTATATTTCCCAAGTAACATTACTCTTACATTGTCCTAAAGTGGATTACCGATAAGTTTAAGGACTTACAACTATATTAGATTACAGCTGTTAAGTAAGTTTTAATTTACAGCTTCTTACTCGTTAGTTGTTAGTGAAACGAGCCGATTTTTAAAGATATCTGTTATGTTGGAAAAACAAACTCTCGAAATAATCATATCTAATTCTGTCCTCTGTCCACCACGGGTCCACGGGAAATCGAGTCCCGAATTTTAGCTATCACTTTGATCCCTGTAGAAAAAAAACCCAACAAAAACAAAATATGGATTCACTCTAAAGTGTGGTTCATCTTAGGCTTGGTTCATCTTTAACTTTTTAACAAATCTAGCACCTCTTGTAAATGAATTGATTAAGATATCTGCAGTTTAAATGCTACCTTGACATAAAAAAGGAATAAAAAATCTGGGGTTCGGGGTGCTCACCTAACTCTTTGGAACCACAACTTTCACCATTACCTTGAATGGCCTTCTCCTTTGATCATCTTCCAACTACCAAGTCTTATCTAAATTAGTTTTTGAAATATATCTGTCTCTGCTGGCTAATATATGGGTGATGATATACATCTGGGTTATCTAAGTTATGTCTCGTCCATGGACAACGTCTGGCCCATTAAGTACCAAGCGAAAATTAAAAATGCATAAAAAATGAAGCTAAGAATAGAGCTTATTTTAATGCCTTTGACTTTGAGTTTTAGTTTATCAGTGTTTATTACCTATTGCTATAATACTTCGGTGTTTAATACCAGTAAACTTGAGAAAAGCTATTACACGATTTTGTTTCATCGATAATTAGAGTCTGAGCCCACTGAGACAGCACTCAAGATATTATGTGACTCACCAATAACACAAAACTGAGCAACCCTGATCTGTATGATATACTTAATACTTGATGACGTCAGTCTCTAAATAGATAAGAATGACTATTTTCTCAAGGTGACATAAGAGGCTTATATTGGATTGATTGGAAAAGCTGTCCTTTCATAAACTCAAAACTTCTGTTATTTACACTGCCGTTGTTTGAGTTTTAAAAAATCAAAAATACAATTATTTAAATTTAAATGTTTGTTGTATAACTACGCAAACTCAGATGATTATAATAAAATATATTGATCGTGCCTGGAACTTTATTGCAAAGGAGAGTTTACCACGATAGCCTAAATATCCAGTTGGCTTAACAAATAAAGGCTGTTTGAGTTGGCTTTACAATCAAGATTTTTTTGAATAAATTAATTATTTTGCGCTTGCATTCACCTTGTTAGATTAAAGCCACCGAAATAATTTTCTTTTCTTGAATAGATAAGCCGTTGTGTAGCTTTGTGCTTAAAATCAAATAACAACAACAACAACAACTTCGCATTTAATAAAATACACAATTTTATGTTTAATAAAATCAAATAATTGGTGCATGATGAAATATACTAATTAACACTGGCTTATGCTTTATCATAATGACTAATAAGACCTGTTGGAGTTTGTCTTGATGAGATAATTTCATATAATTAACAATTAAAATATAGTTTCTGAAACAAACTTATGTTTTATTGAAACAAGTTCAATGTTTAACAACTAATAAAAACACTTTTCTCTTTTTTTACTGAACCAATTTCAGATTAACAAATATCTAAAAAACTGTATTCCAGTTTTATTTAAATAAGTGCAAGGTATAAAAAATAATAATAAATACTAGTTTCTTCTTTACTGAAGCCATAACAGAGTGTGACAACTAATATAAAAATAATTTTACATCAGGTTAAATGATAATAGGATTATCATCGAAAATAGACTAAACTGTTTCGTTTTACTGAAATATCAGTTATAGCGGAATAGCTTAATATCCAGTTTCTTTTGTTGTTAATAAAAACACGAGTAACGTGTAGTAGCAAATACATATGAATGCAGTTGATGCTTTAATGCAATTAATATCTTAATCTGTTTGTTTACGCAAACAAAATATGTTTTGTTTGTTTGTTGAATTTTACGCAAAGCTACTCGAGAGCTAACTGCGCTGGCCGTCCATAATTTAGAAGTGAAAGACTAGAAGGAAGGTAGCTAGTCATCCTTACCCACCGCCAACACTTAGGCTACTTTTTTACCAACGAATAGTAGGGTTGACCGTTACGTTATAACGCCCTTACGGCTGAAAGAGCGAGCATGTTCCTAACCACCAGACCGCAACAAAAACGGGGTGGGGGAGATTGTAAACAATTTATAAATAAACTAGTACCGGGTAAGGTTTGTCGACATTACCGATTCAAGATGGCAGCGAGTCACCAAGCACAATATACGTTTATTATCCCCTCCACCATCTTCCCCATACTGACACCGCAAAGACACGCATTGTTCGTCTGATTCTGCTTTTGAAACATTTGGAATGTTATACGATTTTTTGTTCATCGACTTTCGAATACTTATGTCTACTGTTCTTCGCAATATATATATATATATATATATTGTAATAACTGGTCACATATTCTCATCAGCGCAACACGCTGGGCGATAATAGGAAAAGTTTCTGACCGTTTACTTCTAATAACATCACTCTCATTCAGGATTGCAATCAAAGTATCCTTTAGCACATTTTATTCAATTTGTGTAGTTTTCGTAAGTTTTCCAACAACTTATATAAAAAACCGCAAAAGCATTTAAAACAGACTCTGACTACGTAAATTCACAGACAAATTTCTAATAAAAATATTTAATGAAAAGCCTGATTTTTGTGAGAAAGTAATTTCAAATATTCACTAAAAGCTTGCCAAATTTTGTGATGATACTCTTAGAACATTAAAAGCTGTAGTACGTAAACTTTAGTGGTGATATTATAGTTAAAAGGTCGGTCATTTTGACCGACCCCGTTTTTAGATGGGGTAGCAGATGATTTGTTCAACAATGAAACACGTGGTTCACAGTTTCCCATTGTTATGGTTTGAAATTTCCTTCGGAAGCGTTTTTTACGCACGTTGTTAACACAAACATAAAGAAAACAAAATCAATCAGAGTGATTACATACCCTCTTTTTCGAGATTGCATGCGTTTATTTTGGATAACGTAAAATTTCACTTTCAATAACTCAGAAAATTCTTCTCAGATCCAGAATGATCAACAATCAGATCATCTTTTTTGTAGTGTGGTGAGGAGTCTCAACCTTAATGTGCCCATGAAATTTGGTACAAATCCGATCACTCTTTACAGAGTTATTAACCGAAAACTGCGAAAATTCCCTATCTCTCCATTATATGAAAGAAAATAAAACGA